AAAACCATTAAATTTTGTGAATCGGTCACAGAAAAAATCACCATCCAGCTTGGCGTCATGGAAGACCTTCGGTATGGTCTGAATACCGTCCTCCCTCGCCATAGTGCCGCCTTTCGTCCAGCGGAACATATGGCATTATAACCAAAGTGGCATTATATCCAGGGAGGTGAAACCGGATCTCACTGACATGAGATATCCGCCAATGGTCAGTGTGGCTTTACCCGTACTTACGGCACTGTAATTTGATTTCGTTAAGAACTAATCCTCAGCGAAAATGGTGATGTTACAAGCTTATATTTAGCAAATGAGGAAGCGCTTCGGTATCGAGGGGCATGATCTAGGAACAGGGGCGCATCAGTATTGTGGCTATTGTGAGCTGTAGATGGCAGTAGTGTCATTAGTGCTGGTTTAAAGAGCAACAACATCCTCCCCTATGGCTATGTGATACGGGAACGATGAAGAGGTTACCTCAGTGTAGGATATTATTAGCTTCCGATTTTTCTGCATATCTTTCGTGAGAAGATTCATAGACATGTGATGACGGTTACATAAGATCGGAGTTGACGATTTATGATTAATACTTATAAATACAATTTTTTGGGATTAAATAAACACCATGGGTTGCACAGTCTCGTGTTACAGTTCAGGTGTTAACGGTGACATTTAAGGGAGTAGTGCAGTTTATAATTACTAGCTTGGATTAGATTCGTCTCGTTCCTTCAAATAAACACCAAACTTGTGTTCAAGGTTTCCCGACTGACCCTAATCTGGACCTCCCGACCCCAAAACTATTTGCACACTGTTCTCTATTTGCACATTAGACGATGTCACCTTCCTGTTGTTGTCTGTCGTTCATGCCAATGGTGTAAATGTGTCGCGCGTCACTTCAGATAACCAGTCATTATCCTCACTTGACAGCGGGCTCTTACTGACATCCTGCCGATAACCGATCAAAAACATATCTATCCACGTCGTCGGGGTAGCATTGCACACTACCACAACGAGTTAACGGATGATGTACACATGTGCCCAACCATCACCTGGTTGACGGATGATGTACACATGTGTTCAACAATCACCTAGTTGACGAATGATGTACACATGTGCTCAACCATCATCTAGTTGACGGATGATGTACACATGTGCTCAACCATCACCTAGTTGACGGATGATGTACACATGTGCTCAACCATCACCTGGTTGACGGATGATGTACACATGTGCTCAACAATCACCTAGTTGACGGATGATGTACACATGTGCTCAACCATCACCTAGTTGACGAATGATGTACACATGTGCTCAACCATCACGTAGTTGACGAATGATCTTAACATGTGCTCAACCATCACCTAGTTGACGGATGATGTACACATGTGCTCAATCATCACCTAGTTGACGGATGATGTACACATGTGCTCAACCATCACCTAGTTGACGAATGATCTTAACATGTGCTCAACCAACACCTAGTTTAAGGATGATGTACACATGTGCTCAACCATCACCTAGTTGACGGATGATGTACACATGTGCTCAACCATCACCTAGTTGACGAATGATCTTAACATGTGCTCAACCAACACCTAGTTTAAGGATGATGTACACATGTGCTCAAACAACACCTAGTTGACGGATGATGTACACATGTGCTCAACCATCACCTAGTTGACGGATGATGTACACATGTGCTCAACCATCACCTAGTTGACGAATGATCTTAACATGTGCTCAACCAACACCTAGTTTAAGGATGATGTACACATGTGCTCAACCATCACCTAGTTGACGAATGATCTTAACATGTGCTCAACCAACACCTAGTTTAAGGATGATGTACACATGTGCTCAACCATCACCTAGTTGACGGATGATGTACACATGTGCTCAACCATCACCTGGTTGACGGATGATGTACACATGTGCTCAACCATCACCTAGTTGACGAATGATCTTAACATGTGCTCAACCATCACCTAGTTGACGAATGATCTTAACATGTGCTCAACCAACACCTAGTTTAAGGATGATGTACACATGTGCTCAACCATCGTCTAGTTGACGGACGATGTACACATGTGCTCAACCATCACGTAGTTGACGGATGATGTACACATGTGCTCAACCATCACCTAGTTGACGGATGATGTACACATGTGCTTAACCACCACCTAGTTAACGAATGATCTACCCTTGTGCTTACCCACCACGTAGTTGACGGATAATCTCCCCATGTGCCCACCCATCACCTAGTTGACGAATGATCTTCACATGTGCTTACCTAACTTCTAGTTGACGGGTGATCCTCCATGTGCTCACACATCACCTAGTTGACGAATGATCTTAACATGTGCTCACACACCACCTAGTTGACGGATGATCTTCACATGTGCTCACACATCACCTAGTTGACGAATGATCTTCCATGTGCTTATCCATCACCTAGTTGACGGATGATTTCCCCATATGCTTATCCATCACCTAGTTGACAGATGATCTACCCATGTGCGCACACACCACCTAGTTGACGGATGATCTACCCATGTGCTCACACATCACCTAGTTGACGGATGATCTCCCCATGTGCTCACCCATCACCTAGTTGACGAATGATCTTCACATGTGCTTACCTAACTTCTAGTTGACGGGTTATCCTCCATGTGCTCACACATCACCTAGTTGACGAATGATCTTCACATGTGCTCACACACCACCTAGTTGACGGATGATCTTCACATGTGCTCACACACCACCTAGTTGACGGATGATCTTCACATGTGCTCACTCATCACCTAGTTGACGGGTGATCTTCACATGTGCTCACACACCACCTAGTTGACGAATGATCTTCACATGTGCTTACCTAACTTCTAGTTGACGGGTGATCCTCCATGTGCTCACACACCACCTAGTTGACGGATGATCTACCCATGTGCTCAAACACCACCTAGTTGACGGATGATCTACCCATGTGCTCACACATCACCTAGTTGAAGAATGATGTACACATGTGCTTACCCACCACCTAGTTGACGGATGATCATCACATGTGCTCACATATCACCTTGTTGACGAATGATCTTCCATGTGCTTATCCATCACCTAGTTGACGGATGATTTCCCCATGTGCTTATCCATCACCTAGTTGACGGATGATTTCCCCATGTGCTTATCCATCACCTAGTTGACAGATGATCAACCAATGTGCTCACACACCACCTAGTTGACGGATGATCTTCCATGTGCTTATCCACCACCTAGTTGACGAATGATCTATCCATGTGCTCACCCATCACTTAGTTGACGGATGATCTTCACATGTGCTCATACATTACCTAGTTGACGAATGATCTTCCATGTGCTTACCAACCACCTAGTTGACGGATTATCTACCCAGGTGCTCACACACCACCTAGTTGACGAATGATCTTCCATGTGCTTATCCATCACCTAGTTGACAGATGATTTACCCATGTGCTCACCCACCACCTAGTTGACGAATGATCTTCACATGTGCTTACACACCACCTAGTTGACGGATGATCTTCACATGTGCTCACACATTACCTAGTTGACGAATGATCTTCCATGTGCTTATCCATCACCTAGTTGACGGATGATTTCCCCATGTGCTTATCCATCACCTAGTTGACGGATGATTTCCCCATGTGCTTATCCATCACCTAGTTGACGGATTATCTACCCAGGTGCTCACACATTACCTAGTTGACGAATGATCTTCCATGTGCTTATCCATCACCTAGTTGACAGATGATTTACCCATGTGCTCACCCACCACCTAGTTGACGGATTATCTACCCATGTGCTCACACACCACCTAGTTGACGGATGATCTACCCATGTGCTCACACATCACCTAGTTGAAGAATGATGTACACATGTGCTTACCCACCACCTAGTTGACGGATGATCTACCCATGTGCTTACCCATCCGAACAATCAATTTGTATAACTTCTTTGCTGTAACAGCTGACTAACCTGGGGAGATCGGGTGGCAGAAAGTATGACTTGGTTAACTGTGTGTCATTGTAAAGTTATCAAAAGGGTATTTGCCTGCTCCAAACGTCATTAGTTAGGGCCCACCGTGATATTGCTGTATCATTGCACAACAACATTCATTTACTCGCGAACTTGTTAGTCTTTCTCTGCAGCCAAGACTCTTGCTTGCAGATTTATTGATCAATTGAAAACCTAACACTATTCGGAGATTCCAGTTTTCAACGTGTAAACATATTTGGAATGGAAGCTATTTACTCAGATAATATTATGTGATTGATTAGATGAGAATTTGAAAATTCTATCACACGATGATAAACATGTTTTCTGACCTAGGCATGATTTCATTGGCCTGTGACAAATTCCGTCAAAGTTCTCCTCAATGGTTGTACTGTTCAGAACGGCGTTATGCCCAACTCCCGCACTGCCTACGATAGACCGAGTGACACGGCATCAGATCTGTTGTAAACATATTATCATTCTTTCGGACTCGCGAAAGAAGGTAGCTATTACATATATTCCCCCTCTTTTCGTGAACATTTTCATTATATTTGGTTTGTGAACATGACTAGAGGTTGTTTATATTTTTAAAACACGGTTTAGACCTCCTCTAGGGAAATTGTAGGTATGTAGTGAGATCGTTTGTCGAAAGGTTAAAATATTTTCACGATACCCAATCCCACCATCTTGGGGTGTTATTGGTAATGCTAAAGAAAGAAGAGAAGAGGTGTGAAATCCGTAGCTGCATCAGAAATAGACACAAATCACCAACATTTTTCGTCACCACTCGTCTCTTTCCGTAATCATTCGGATTATCCCGAAATAACGCGAGTGTATGGAGGCAAGCGTAATACAAGTACATGCATTATTATTACGTGTATTCTTGTTGTCATCATCTTATGATATGATTGTTATCGAACTGAATTTGAAATACCTACACATTTTGAAATAATCTTAAAACCATTTTTTCTTTCCTGTTTCAGTATCGCTATTGTTCGGAAGGGTGTTGTATTCACGAGTACTGCGCATACCACAAGATCTGCTATCCCAAGACGCATTGCAACTTCGGTTGCCCGGATGGAACTTGTGTAGACGGGATCTGTATGCCTTACCAAGTGTGCAACCTCAGCACATCGTGCCCCATGGCACATATCTGCACCTACCACCACAACCTGGGCTACGACGTGTGCCAGTACAACCTCGACATCGGCAATACGTTATGTGTCGACCGCTATGGAAAGTCTCTTCTGAAACCGATGAACTAGTTGACGTGTCCATTCATAAACTATTTATTTTGTTTAAACGGAGTGAAATGTGTAATAAAGAATCTTTTGTGACAGATTGTCTAAAATGACCAACCTGTTTAAAACAACGATGTTGATAATTTTAGAGGGTAATGCTATGCAGTAGTTGGACAATGGTGTAAGATGACAATGGTGTCCAGCCTATAGGCTTTGTCCATCCTCGGATGAGGTGTAGTACGTTCCGCCCCTCGCCTCGTTTGTTTGTTTGTTTGTTGTTTAACGCTGCACTCAGCAATATTCCAGCTATATGACGGCGGTCTCTTAATAATCGACTCTGGACAAACAATCCAGTGATTGACATCAAGAGCATAGATCCATGCAATCGGGATTCGATGACATGCATCAACCAAGTCAGCGAGCCTGCCCGCCCGATCCCGTGAGTCGCCTTTTACGACAAGCATCGGCTTCTGAAGACCTATTCTAACCCGGATCTTCATGGGTGCCTCGGGTGGAATCCAAACAAAATATTTTCCTCCTGATATTAGTCACTGGAATGACTTGATTATTTACAGACCGCCGTCATATAGCTGGAATATTGTTGAGAAAGGCGTTAAACAAGCAAATAAACAAACCAAATTAGTGTCCTGTTCTCTACTTATGAACACGCTAACACAAACATGTAATACAATCACGGGTTTGTTGCCGACGATACCTCAGCAGCTGTATCCTTGACAATGGCATTTCCTGCGACACTGAGATACATTCAATTACTTGACGTAACCAGAAACTCGGCAACCTGACATTTAACATTGTGTAAACAAGAGAGGATGTGTGTCATAAAGAACCCAAAATAAATATTTATGACATATACTGAACAGCAAAACAAACGTCACCCTAAGTAACATTGCATGAAAAGTTGTCATTGAAATATCTGGGTAATTTTTGTCAAAGTTTCTAAAATTTACCATAACCTTGTACGGAAAAATGGAATTGGATAATAAAAAAACAAAGCAGATGACAATAAATTCGAAAGTTCTGTGCAAATTGAAATGCCCATGCGTTCCCCCATTTCTGGCCCTATAAAATTCCACCCAGATCGGATAACATTCATTCGTTATTGAATTGCTACCACATGCCAAGATTGACAAGAAATCAGCGACACCAAGCTCTTGGATGATTGCAAGCTGGACAAAACGCCCGGCAAGTAGCCAATGCATTTCAGGTCAACGTAAGGACCATATACAGACTCCAGCAACGGTTCCAGACCACCAACACTACAGATAACCGACCACGTAGTGGAAGACCAAGGGTCACCACCCGACTTCAGGATCGTCAGATTGTGTTCGACGATTGACGAGCAGACACGTCCACTGTCACAGACCAGGCCACAACGGGGACCCATTCTGTTGTTGAGAGAGACACGTTAGGTGGTCAGAGCATCATGGTGTTGGGTAGAATTGGTCTTGCACAGAGGGTCAGCCCTGTGGTCTTCCGGAACAACGATCCAGGGAGAGGCAATGGTGGCAAAGCAGCTCGGTCTTAAGACCACACCCCATACCTCATTTGGCACGTCGCCTTAACCACGAGTTCCAGTATGATAACGCCCATGCTCACACTGCGAGAGCAACAAGAGACTAACTCCAGCAGAATGGCATCAAAACCATGCTGTGGCCTGCCCTCAGTCTCGATTTAAATCCCATTGAGCACCTGTGGGACGAGATTCAAAGACGGCTGAATGACGTCTGACCAAGGCCGACAACTGCAGCTGAACTGCGTCAGGCGTTCCTCAGAGTGTGGGCTCAAGTGCCTGTGGACTTCATCAACCGCCTCATCCATTCCATGTATCGACGTTGCACGGCAGTCATCAATGCACATGGCGTACACACGAGATACTGACTTGTGATGCGATTTTCTCAGAGACTAGTGTTGTGTTTCACATTAAGAACATTTTAATATGTCTCAAAGTATGTTTACAGTGTTTGGACAAATAAGGTTTCTCATATATCTATCCATGGTGACGTTTCTTTTGCGGTTCAGTATATTAGGAATCAACTTCGACTGAAACATTAAGTGTTGTTTATGTGAAGCACAACTAAAACATTGAGCGCAGACGCCAAGTCTGAAAAGATACATAAAAAAGTTTTTAAGTCAACTTGAATTTCTACTGAAGACCAAAAACTGAACCCCTAATGTGTGAATGTCAAGATAATAAACGCATGTCAACATGTTTAGCTCTAAAACGTGTTTATATCCTGAACAAAATAAAGATTTCAATTGTGTCTAAACACGTTTTGGATCTAAAACCAAACGAACCGGTTACGATCTCAGTACATATCCACATCTTCAACATCTACGCTTTTAACGTGTTAATTATGGTATTTTTAAGCTAAATATGTATTGGATCTTTTTTTCTTCTTTGTTGTTTGTTTGTTGTTTAACGCCGCACTAAGCAATATCCCAGCTATATGACGGTGGTCTGTAAATAATCGAGTCTGGACCAGACAATCTAGTGAATAACATCATGAGCATCGATCCACGCAATTGGGATACGATGACATGCATCAACCATGTCAGCCAGCCTGATCACCCGATCATCGCCTCTAACGACAAACATAGTCGCTTTGTACGGCAAGCATGGGTTGCTGAAGACCTATTCTATCCCGGATCTTCACGGGTCGTTTGAACTGAAAATGTTCATGATCTACGCGTGTTCACGAAGTTGGGATTTATACTTCTATGTCTATTGCTTTTCACACACACACACCACCCCTTCCCGTACCCACCCACCCTTGCGCGAGTCAACATGTAAAGGATTAAACACGACTCCGTGGTTTTACATTTTCCACCAAAACCTAGGAGGAGTGTTTTATCCAACTTATGAATGCTAGAAATATATAAAAAATACGGAAACATCGGGATGCCTTATTGTGAAACAATACAGTGTGTCGCGGTTCTTGCAACAAGTACACAACTAAAGTCATGACATGTAAAATTAAACATCCTTTAATGCCCCGGTGGCTTAGTAGGAAAACAGTGAATTCCAAAACTTAAAACGATATGTGATGTTGCAGGTTGGATTCACGTCATGGAATTATATTTTGTTGATTTTTGGTCAAATTGCATATCCGTGTGGAACAAGCCCACGTTCGGCAAATATAGTCATAAGTTCCAATAATCAATCATCGTCATCATCATCGGATTATACTTTTTGTCATGATGTGGGGAAGAATATTATTTTCAAAATGGTACATAAGATATAACATACCACGCAGACCAACGATGTCAAACTACCAAATCCCAGTGAAAGGATACGCTATTATTTATTTAACACTTCTTCCAAGATAAACACGCTCTTATAAAAGTATTTTTAAAATTCCAATTAAGAAACCGTCTAGAAACATTGCGGCCATAAATGACTACGGAAATGGTATTCAATCTTAGGTTGGTTGACCTTTTATGCCGGTAGTAATATGTTGTAATACGTTGCTATTAGCCCTGTCAGCATTTACTGAAAATAATTGCGGGGAATGTATCGGTCAGTGTCGATGCACCAAGAACCCAACGCTCTAACCGGCCAACCCGACATGAAATCAGACACCATCAGGTTCATGTTATGAGCATGCCACTCGCCGTACAGATGCGGTGACGCCCAATCAACCAAGTCACCGAATCTGACCTCCCAATGAAAAATCAGCTTTTTACATGTACGGGAAGCAGCATATTCTAACCAGGCTCACGACATTTTGCAAGCGATAGAGTGCTGGGGACGTATTTCTAACCAGGCTCCCCTGGGTATTGCAAGCGAAAGAGTGCTGGGGACGTATTTCTAACCCGAGTCCTCGCGGGGTTACAAGCGATAGAGTGCTGGACACCTATTTCTATTTCGGGTCCTCACGGGGTTACAAGCAACTGAGTCTGGGGACCTATTTCTAACCAGGCTCCCCACGTTTTGCAAGCGATAGAGTAATGGAGACCTATTCTCCCACAGTATTGCAAGCGATAGAGTACTGTCCAGACCTATTCTAACCAGGCTCCCCTGGGTATTGCAAGCGATAGAGTGCTGGGAACCTATTCTAACCAGGCTCCCCTGGGTATTGCAAGCGATAGAGTGCTGGGAACCTATTCTAACCAGGCTCCCCTGGGTATTGCAAGCGATAGAGTGTTGGGGACCTATTCTAAACAGGCTCACCTGGGTATTGCAAGCGATAGAGTGATGGGGACCTATTCCTAACTCGGGTCCTCACGGGATTACAAGCAACTGAGTCTGGGGACCTATTTCTAACCAGGCTCCCCACGTTTTGCAAGCGATAGAGTAATGGAGACCTATTCTCCTACAGTATTGCAAGCGATAGAGTACTGTCCAGACCTATTCTAACCAGGCTCCCCTGGGTATTGCAAGCGATAGAGTGTTGGGGAGATATTTCTAACCTGGTTCCCAAGTTTTGCAAGCAATCTTGATGTTTGAGGAAAGTTCATAGTGATGCAGGTGTCAGACGTTTACCACTTTTTTTAAATCCACGGCCAGGGGTATGGTGCTGACAAACATAGAAACATAATCAGGGCGAACCACGATCATAGTGTTCTGGCGTGCCAAAGGGGCGCAACTCTGCAGAGCTAATTCCTGCGCTTTAGACGAAAGCGCCTCTTGCGCTCCCACAGAACATGAGAAGTGGATATATTCCTGATGAAATAAAAAGTTGGTTCAGTTGTTTATTGGGATGAAAGCTATCTTATTTAAGTAAGGTAAATACATTATCGTTCAACATAAAGCAGTATATAGTCGGGTAAAAAGGACATGACAATTTTCACTTGCTCCTAAAATTAGTCCACATTCACAAGGTTGTTTGGAAAGAAATGGTACTGAAAGTTTCTTACTGTGTTACACCGTTGTTAATATATATGTACACAAGAGAATAGCTTCATACACTAAGTCTTGGTCATTTAGTCAATCCCTCTAAACGGGCGATTGGGTAGCCTAGTGGTTAAAGCGTCAGCTCGTCACACCGAAGACCCGGGTTCGATTCCCCACATGGGTGCAATGTGTGAAGCCCATTTCTGGTGTCGCCTGACGTGACATTGCTGGAGTATTGCTAAA